TTCCCCTTTTATAGAAAATGCTGTTCACGTGTGTTATGATTTTAAAATTTTGCCCCCGAAATATGTGAAAATTGATAGCTTTTAAAAATTTAAAACTTTTAAAAAATAAAAAGGGAAAATTTAAAAAGGAACCTACTATTAAACCTTTTTTTTTTTTGTACGTTTTTATTATTGTTTTTAAATTATTTAAATTTTCCCTTTAAATTTATTCAGAAAAAAGTGGGGAATTTTTATTTGTCACAAAATCTACTAAAAAAATGAAATTTTTTAAATTGGGAAAAAACAATTAAGTGTATAAAATTTTTGGAAACAAAGGTTTTTAAAACAAGGGTTGGGAAAATTGTTTTTCGAACATTGCGACGCATTGTGATTTATTTTTTGTTCTCTACGTTTATTAGGTTTCAAATATTGTTTGTTTGTTGATCGAAGCAATGTCTTATTTATTTTACTTCTACAATTAAAAACGTAAAGAAAAATTACATTTTTATTTTCTTTTTATTATTGTAAAATAAAAGTTTTCTGGGACTTCAGCCTCATTAAGTAAGTAAATTGTTATGTATAGCACTAACAAATACCAGTTTTACTGACAATTTACCCTGCATTCCTAGAACATTATCGTCAGTTTAAGTTTTATAACAAACCAATTGCAATTGTCTAAAAGGGATGAAAATAGTTGAAAGTCAAACGACTTGGTTCCTGACAAGACAGTCAGGTAATTGGTGTCTGGTCTAAAATTATCGCTCCCGGCAGACGACAAATTGTTCTACATCACGGTAAATGGGGAATGTTAATATACATGTTTTTGTCATCTACATGACATAAAAAATTTAAAATTTATCAAGAAAGTTTAAAACGATTTGCAGGCTCGGTTTAATTCAGCCAGATCATGAACGATACTTAAAGTGCAAGCTTCATGCCACTCCTGTAGCATCGGCTTAATCTGAATATGAAATTATATAATTTTGAATGAGAACACATCGCACATTGTTCATATGGATATAATGCAACATTTAATGCGATAGCGACATTTCATGAAATGCGAATGGTTTAAATAATATATGTGTAACTTAATAGAAATGGGACATTTATTGAAGTAAGACCTTCTTTGTACAAAAAATAAATAAATAAAAAAATATCACATAGACGGTGTAAAACTTGCCCTGTACATTTAAATCATATAGAAGAAAAATAGCATGTGCTACGAGGAATCTTTTATTGAGCAAATTGTAGTTCATGTAAATCATAAATCTTTTACATGTATTGTATTTCAATTTCATAATACTTTTATACATTTCTTTTCAGAAACGTTTGGTTACAAGACTGTAGCTTTCAGTGCTTATAATCCATTCGACAAGAGTTTACAAACAAACGAAATCCTAATTCTTCAGTCGGTACTCATTAACGAAGGGCAAGGATATGATACTAAAAGTGGAATATTTACGGCTCCAACTAATGGTCTGTATCATTTCACCGCTCATGTTTGCAACACACACGCACTAGTCATTCACTACGCTATTGTGAAAGATGGTGATTGGATAGCAAGATCACAACAATTTGAACAAGCCGATGAAAATTCACACAAATACGCCGGCTGCAGTTCTGTTAGCGCCCTTACAAGGATGGCATCGGGCGATCAAGTTTGGATAATGTGTACTGCTGGATATGGCTCAGCAGCATTTGTTCAGATTCACGATGACAGCCATCTTCGAAATTCGTTTATTGGTGTTCTCCTTCATACATAATACTTTAACAATTAATTTGATCGTTGATTGATATTTTATATCCCATATCATTATATCGTTTACTTGTAAACTTCTTTATTTCACATGTTTTAGTAAGAGCTTAAAACTAAGAGTTATATTCACAAATATATTTTTATTGTGTATTTCTGTTACAATTAAATAATGATATTTTATAAACTTATAAATGCAATCTCTGCATTTAATCATACTGAAATTTTTTAGTTAAAAGTTTACGACATTTACTAACGTTTCAAGGTGATGATGAATATTAAACTAATTGGATAGATAAATAACCAAGCAACTCTACATGTGGCATTTTATTTTGAATGGTACCATGTTATAAAAATGTTTTGTTGCTGTTGTTGTTTATTGTTGTTGATGTTTGGGTTCTTTGGGGGGGGGGCTGGGGGAGAGGGGTTTTTTTTTGTTGTTGTTGTTGTTGTTGTTTTGGGGGTTTGGGGCGGAGGGAGAGAGATGTTGCGTCGCACCAACACTGTAATAGTCGTGTTGCGTCTTTCCAGATTTACTAGAGACAGGAGACCGCAGGTGCCCATTGATCCCTGAAATACTGTCAAAAAGGGCACATGACTGGAACTACCAACGTTCTGTACACCAGGAAACTATATTAAGTGTAAATTGAGTAAAGTCTTGATTGAGCCCAATCAACTTAGATTTTTCGGAGTTCATATATATTCCGTTGATTATAAATACCCCGCGTAATGCTGTTATAGAATTTTTGGTGCATTTGATTTTATAACTTGTACAAATTGGAATAATTTGCTATCACTTATATAATTCAGAAAACATAAATACATATACCTTAACAAAGCGACACTTAAGGTAGCACTCCACACTAAATTTCAAGTTTCTGCCGTCAATGTCCTACAAGCAATATGTCTGATAAATCTGATCCCAAACTACACGACCTGGAAAAAGAAAACAAATTTTGTTAAGAACATATATGTCATAACATTGCAAATCTGTAATGAAATCATCCCATGTGCAACAGTCAGGCAGTTAAAAGAATTCACATTCATTCCGTAAAAGCCAAAAATCTATAGTGGTCCGAGACCCAAATCAATATATTTCGTCCCTCCGGCAAAAAATACCTGCAAATATACAGGCTACAGAAACTCTGTCACTGCTTTAGCAACTCACTATACATGCAAACTATCACAAAGAAATAAGTGCTTGGCCTTGTAGATTTTTTGCTATTGCTGAAAGTTTGTACCTCCCTGTAAAATTACTTGTTTTCACCGAGCATGCTGTTTAAAAACAAAGTTTACAAACAATGACGGCCTTGACATCTATAATTATCAGCATGTGATTTCCAACCGTGTTTTCGAATTTTGCCAATGATCTCATTACATGTCACAAAAACAAACTTCTAAAAAGCATTTTAAAGACAACCAGTCATTTAAATCCACAATAGTCACTATATCCATGAAATCCTCCCTGGCCATTCGAAAATGTGGCTTAGTTTAGTGTTGTGTGCTGCCTTAAGTAGTTGTTTTGAGTTTTTACAAGCTTATGCTGACATTTTATTAAATGTTTTAAGTAAAGAAGACTTGTTAGAAACTTTACAGTTAATTGTAGTCCAATATATTAGACCTTACGAGACTGTTATTGTTTATGATGATCAATCCCGTCGTCTAAAAGATATTGCCCATAGTGCACCTAAAAAAATTTTAAAAAAATTCAGATATCTAGCCAGATATTCAAGCTTTAATAAAAATCTATCAAATCTTATTTCTATTTCATGCTCAATCATTAATACAAAAATATGAACAGTGTGATAATCGATTAAAAATCAAATACAAACAACATTCTATTTTTTCCTATCCGCTATACTGCTTAAGTTAAACGCTTTACAGATTGATTTCAAATTTTAGAACGGAAAATATATTCGTATACGTTGACGGTTCAAAAATATTCCGGTTTGAAATTTGTGGTCTAATCTTTTAAACGCGTGCATTCGATAAACCAATCAGATTCAGCGCTTAATGTGTCGACTGTATATGGAATTTAATTCAATAAAAGGGTTTAAACAGAGTTCACTCAGTTTGTAGAACTAGTAGTAATAGTCGTAATTGTAAGTAAAGCCGTTGAAGTGGTACTGGTATTCGTCCTGTAAGTCGAAGCTGTATAGATAATTGTTAGAAACAGATAAAGTCGTATTCGTCGTCCTTATCGTGAATAACGAATTGTACAAGTTAGAGTCGTAGTTGCCGTAACCTTAGTCGTCTACAGAGTCTTTAAAGTTGTATCCGAGGTGGATAATGTAGTCTTAGCCGTACTCAAATCGTAGAAGTCATTGTTTTTCTTTTAGTCGTTTTCGTACTTGCTGTAGAAGTTTTCATATTCATAAGTTATAAAAGTCGAATTCCTTTTTTTTTATCGTTTCCGTACATGTATATGCGTATAAGTTATAGTCGTAGAAATGGCTAAAGTCATCGGCATAGTCGCTTATACCGCTTGTGTCTTAGATGTATACGTGCGATGTAGCCTTGTAACACCGCACTTTGGGGTCAAACGCACTTTGGGGTCCGACCCCAAAGTGCGTTAAACTTCGCACCGCACTTTGAGGTCAAACGCACTTTGGGGTCAAAATCGAGTCTGGTTTCGCCCGACCTTTTTCGGTCCATTTTTTAAATCATATGTATTTTATATAATTGTTGTTTTTTAATTATTACATGCTATTATAGTAGTGTCTATTTGGAAAGGGCTGTTGATTGGTTATTGTTTCATGAATATGCACCACTCAACCCCACTCCCTGAGAATAGTGGGGGCATTGACTTTAAACCATGCTGACCACTGGTAAAATCTTTGCCCTGCGGGGGATATTCAGATAATCACATTCCTGCCTTATGCCCCGGAACAGTGCAGACATCAAAACACGATTCCTTTTTAACCCGCACTCTCCCTGGGGCAAGGGAGGTGGTTACAACTTACAAATGACTGGTGTATTACAATAATGCACAATAAAAGATCTAAATAGGTCGTTATATTTCACTGATTTAGAAAACAATATATATACATGTATATATATGTATATATACTAAAAAGTGTTGTTATCTTTTTGATACCTCCAAAAATGACAATATGGGTATTTGCAAATGGCGTTTGCAAATGGGGTACTGTAATTTACAGATGGCGAAGTGTTTGAAACTGGTGTTTTACAAATGGCGTAATTATCCAAACCTCTACTTTGCAAATAGCGTCATGTAAAAATTTGTACGGAAAAAGTTAAAAACAAAACAAAAAATAAAATATGTACAAAAAACTCAAATAAAATATGTATGCAAAACTAAAAAAGAATATGTATGCAAAACTAAAAAAAAGTATGTATTCAAAACTAGAAAAAAAAATGTACGTTATATTATAAATCCGTGGTACGACAAACAAAAAAAAACAAAAATATGTACGAAAAAAAAAATTAAAAAAGAAAGTACCAAAAACAAAAAAAGTTGCAGATGTCACTTTTATGCCACCGTTCAAAATACTATAGTACAGAAATTGTGTATTCCTTAAGTTAAAAGATGCTGCGAAAAATATCCCGTTCTGTCAGTTAACTTTTGGTGCCATGTTGAGCCCCTTTTTAAATATGTTGGGAATGAAATAAAATGCAGTTAATTTTTTTACGAAAGAACTATAAATATACTCTATTGCAATGTTCTGGTGAAACATCAAGTTTTTCGATCGGACTATAAATAGTGATTTTTACAAATACATTATTAAGCTTATCAACACACTTAAGGGTTTTTGTAAGCTCCGTAACAACCGTTCGCCAGAGGCTTTTTTAATAGGAAATCTTACATACTTCTTTAGAAAGAGCAAACATGAATTTTATTATGTTAAAAATAATGGTATCAGAGAAATGTAAGATGCTTGTTACCTGAATAAAGAAGCGATAAAAGTGAAATTATTTTTCATAAAACTAGTCAAAACAATGTAGTATTTCCATACAAAATACTTATTCACTTTAATTGTACTCATCATTGTCAAAAAGCAACTGTTACAGATGAAAAGGATGGTTCAGGTAATTGACCAATGTGTATTTTTCATAATATAAAAGAACATCAAAATAAAACAGCTTTTAAGAAAAACAAATAAAAGCATAATGGGCCTTTAAAATGTTATTTTTAACCCTCGGGGGGGATCGATACCCCACACTCCCTCTATACACCCAGTATTCTGAAGCTCCGCTCTTAATGTGCGACTACTTAAATAGTTGATATTTTAGTACTGCCTGTACGGACTACTACTTAAAGCCGCATCAACACCTAGTCAAGTTTCTTATGTGTCACATTAAGCTAAATAAATGGCTATTTTAACATATTATCAGGCAATTTTTTTTACTGAAATGTCTTACTAAGATTAACCAGAATTAATACCTTTGTCTATGCTAAGACTATATCATTTCTGTAAAAAGTGTAAATAACAAACGGGAAAATGATGCATTAAGCTTAAAACAATGGAGTTAATGAAAGGTGTACATACTTTTAAAATAAATGGAAAATTTGAGAAAAACATATTTTAAGCTTAATAATTGATACAAATTGTTTATTTGGTAATTTATTTAGTGAAAGTCCTTCACTTATTTATCAAGACCATTTAAATCCCTATTGATTCAGGGCACATGTTTTGTGTCTATTTAATACCTTGATTTTTTGTTTACCATTGGTTTTGGCTACACTATATTATTTAAAACAAAATGAACATAAATTTTCTCTGACCCGAAAGTGCGGTCGTTTGCCTGATGTTAAAAATGCATATGTACCTGTTTAACGCACTTTGGGGTCGAAATTAGACACCAAAGTGCGTAACGCACTTTGGGGTTGAACTCTAAAATACGTAACGCACTTTGGGGTCGGACCCCAAAGTGCGTTTGACCCCAAAGTGCGGTGTTACATAGCCTATCTTTTACTTTCTGTCAAAAACTTTGATCAGTTTCCAATATATAATACGAATATATATAAGTAAATCGACAATTATTTTC